TGTGGGTTCGAACAACTCCACCATCCACCGTATTCTCCAGATCTGGCCCCCAGCGACTATTTCCTGTTCCCAAACACCAAAAGATATCTGAAGGGGAAGCAATATGAGTCCGAAGAAGAGATATCGAACGATATTTTCAACGTATGGTAGGACAAAGATGCCGAGTGGTTTGAAGGAGGAATTAAAGCATTGAAGCATCGATATGAAAGTGTCATTCGTGTTCATGGAGACTACTTTGAATAATAAATATAGTCATTTAAAAATACAATGTGTGTTTCTATATCAGGCTTAAAAATTTTTCCTCCCCCTGTAGATCTGTCAACGAATGTTACGCGTGTCGTTTTAATATTGGTTGCATGCGCTGAACACATGAGAAGCATGATCTCACGAGTTATATGTGCAGACGATCAACTGAATGGGTAAGAATAATCATGACCTCCAAACATTCTTTTAAAAAATACTGATACAAGACGATGAATTAAAATAAATCAGATACTAACTCGCGTTTAAAATAGATCTGATACTTGAAAGATATTGAAAATAAAAGTGGTATGTATCACATTTATTTTCAATTCGTTCAAGTATCACATTTATTTTCAATTCTGGCTAGTATCTCATTTATTTTAACTCATTTGTGCATTATACCGAGTCTCCGAGAGTTTGATATAAGCCTTCCCATGTAGATGGTAAAAAATCGTGAAAAATGAAAAAAATAATCAAATTTGTTTTCTTCGATTTACAAATACTACTCAATTTTCTATATCACCTGGTGAAATCAGAATGAAAAAAATCGCATTCCATATAATCTAAATCACGATTTGGACTTTTGTCACTGTTTGAGTGCTCTATACCGAGTCTCCGAGAGTTTCATATAAACTTCCTATGTAACACCTATTGAATAGTGGCCGAATGCCAATCGTGATTTGGGTGATAAGAAATGCGATTTTTTTCATTCTGATTTCACCAGATGGTACAGAAAATTGAATAGTATTTGTAAATCGAAGAAAAAAATTTAATTATTTTTTTCATTTTTCACGATTTTTTACCATCTACATGGGAAGGCTTATATGAAACTCTCGAAGACTCGGTATAATGCACAAATGAGTTAAAATAAATGAGACACTAGCCAGAATTGAAAATAAATTTGATACTTGAACGAATTGAAAATAAATGTGATACATACCACTTTTATTTTCAATATCTCTCAAGTATCAGATTTATTTTAAACGCGAGTTAGTATCTCATTTATTTTAATTCATCGTCTTGTATCAGTATTTTTTTAAAGAATGTTTGGAGGTCATGATTATTCTTACCCATTTAACTGTACTTAAATCACACAAATTTTTCACTGACTCAATATTGTGTTTGTAAGAAATATTGACGGGAATGAAAAAATTTGCTTTTGCTACAACAACTCGATAAGGGCGCTCAAGAACGTTTAAAAAGTTGTCTATATTATTTAACATTAGTAAATTGTTATGACTGGTCGAACATGCGAACGAACAACACTTCGTTTTCTGTGAATGATCGGCCACAGACAATTGCTGCGAACGAACGATCTGTTCGTTCGTTTATTTTCGTTGACAGCACTGCATTGAAATGCTTATAAAACAAATTTCAAAAGATTTTTCGCGTATACAAAATCTTTTAGAAAAAAACAACACTGAATGGGTCCTCCCTGAAGAACAGCTTTGAAATGACTCCTTTACAAATTGTGGAAAATTTTAGAGTGTGAATTCTTTAAAATTGCTATGGCTTTTGACGATAGAAAAACTCTTTCGATTTGATGGGGATTTTTGAGCCAAATTGGAATCAAAAGCCCCCTAATAACATCTGTTGCATAAACATTGGCACAAAATGAGACTTCCGCCATTTGAAAAAAAATACACAATATTAAATTCTTTTTTATTGGTATAAACTTTTATTCATAGGCTATCGAATAGCACATTCACTTTACACTTAATGAGCCATTGTCTTCGATTTGTCTCAGTACGTGTCGAACCTTCAAAATCATGCTCTGGACGACCAATATGTCGACTTCCTTCAACTTTCGCTTGATTCGTCCTATCAATTGTTGCTCGTTTTGAGCTTCCCAGCCCTTCTCGTACACTTTACGTTTGAGAACTGACGAGAAATCTTCGATTGCCTGTGTAATGTTTGGTGCGTTGTCTTTTTTCGGTACAAATGGTATTTTCGCTACAAATTTTGACTTACCAGCAAATTTAACATCGTCTGGTGTTGCTTCAATGTTGTCAGTGTAATAGCTATCATTACCACTCAATTCATGGTGCGAAAAAGTGAAGTATGATTCAACGTCCAAAATCATGAATTTCCCGTTAGCAAAGTGTTTACGACGCAGTGCACGGCAACATTTTGGTATTATTTCGAGTTGTCTTGGTGTATATTTCGGTGCCCGCTTACGTTTACGATAAAATACGTTGTTTTTCTTCAAAATGCGATGCACTTTGGAATTATCAATACCAAATTTTTGCGACAGTCGCCGTGTTGATTGACCAACCTTGTTTTTAGCACTTGACAGCAGACGTTTCGTTGTCCGGGCACTTAGTTTGGGTGGACGACCAGGGATTTTTTTTATTTTTCGGTTCTTTACCTTCACGACAATCCTTTAAAACACGATAGATGGTTCAACGAGTCTCGAGACTCTCGACGTGCATTGGTTGACATTTTTATTTTTGTTATTTCGTTGTAATAAATGTATCAATTTGTGCCAATGTTTATGCAACAGATGTTAGAATGGAGTTTGGGAATATCTTTCAATTTGCTATGGAGACGAAAAAGTTAGGACCCTTTTTAGTTCTTATTTTTGAAAGATCAAATTCCCTTTATATTTTTGAAATTTTTGGAATTTAACCCTTTCTTCCATTAGATTGCCATTGCTTTTATATTTTTTTTGTAAATTTACAGATAGCATTTAAATATCGTCTTTATGCGTTCTTTTCATGGTTCTTTTGCTTTACATGTAAATAGCTTTCGCATGTGCTTGACTTAAAGTGAACCTCAGCATCATACATGACTATGTTGTCGTTTCTAACTCGACCTGAAGTATAGGTGTATACTGTGTAAGATGTGTTCATTTAAAATGAAGAAGTAAGGAAGTAATATCCCATTGTCAGTCACTTACATTGTTATTTCGGCGATTCTTAATAGATGCTTTACTTCGTTTCGTTGCTACATATAAGATGAGTACAACTAATAAAATACCCAAAATTGCCAATAGAATGTATGTGCTTTTGCTCTCTTGAACTGGTTCTTGTAGCTTTGTTGATTCTTGTTTAGTTTCTTTGTCTCCATGAACATTTGATGCAATAATTTCTGCATCATTGATGGAGCTTTCGTTTGGTACGACGAGATTTTTGGTTACCGCATCATCTGTTTCGTCGCTTTCATTGTTGTTTGTTTCCCCACTGGAATTTTTTGTGGTCAATTTTTCTGATTCTTTGTTGAATGTCCTATCATTATTAAAATCATCATCATCATTCTTCGGCCCTGTTTCAGTTGCAGAATTTTCATCGCCTGAACCTTCATACGATTCGACCATACCAGATCCTTCATAGTTTTCATCCAAATGATCGTCCTTTTCAGGATTTGGTGCAGCATCATTTCGTTTGTTTCGTAAATAGTTTACCGGTATAAAATCAGCTTCAATTGCATCACTTTCACCAGCGGTTACATGATCGTCCATCATCAATTCATTCTCATCGTCGATGACACCAGAAAATGGTAACATTCGTGGTGCATCTAAACCATTTGGTTCGCAAACTTCTGCTTGACGAATTTGCAGCCATGATCGTCCTTTAAATTGTAGCGGTGCCATACATCGAATCGGTTTCTCGGTCCACACCTTACGCACCTGCAACCAATTTCGTACATCTAATGTTTCACATGTACAATTTAGTGGATTATCAGACAACTCTAATGACTTCAAATGAATGAACAGTTTAAAGTTTTCGGGTAAAATGGTGATATCATTGTGTGATAAATTCAAATGTTTTACTGTTGTTGGAATTTTCGCTAATTTACCTAAGGGGAGAATCACAAAAGAAAAGAATACAATTAATTTAAAATAATCGATAAATAATCGGAAAAGAATCAATAACAATTATTAAATAATAGAAAGGCAATTTTTAAGTGAATTGCCTCGCTAATTTACCAGATGTTATTCGGTTTCCGCTCATATTTAAAAACCGAATGCGACGCTGATGTAAATTACTTAAATCTGATAAATGATTATCGCTCAAATCCAATTTCGAGAGGTTTGTCAATTTATCCAATTGGTTATTTATTTTTGTTAAATTCATCGATGACAAATCCAATGAATGTAATTCCGATGTTTTACCCTGAAATAGATTTTTGTTAAAAAAAGTACACATTATTAGTTCGATTTTTTTAACGAAGAAAACAACTAAAAGCTACTAGAAATTTATGAACACCCGTGTACACACTAATTTATATTTTGACTAAATCGATTAAAGTTGATTTTTTTCTATAGATAAATTTGTTTTAAGTAGTTTACTATAATACATACCAACTGCCGCAAGCCATCCAACGATGTACATTTGGCATGATTATAACGTTTGCGTTGCACTTCAGAGCAGGAACAAAATTCTGGGCATGTGAATGAATCACCACAGCCAATGGTCAGCAAAAGAGTTCCAATAAAAATATAGAAAGAGATATGCGCTAAACGTACTTTCATTTTGCGCTATTTATCTTCTTTTTTTTGTTATTATTATTGTTTAACTTAGTTTATTGAGTGTATGTGTGTGTCTCAGATAATTTATGACCTGTAAAAGAAACAAAAACTAATTAAATTTCGTTTCGCGAAAGTGTCGTTTATTAAAAAGGTTGAAAATGAATTTGAAAAAAAGACGAGAATCATGTTTATTGATCTTAAATCGATTTTCAGGCTGTAACGTTTAATCTCAATATTTACTTTCATTTAAATATACTTGTACATGGACTACAACATTATCGAAACAACTATATCATTGGTGAAAATTAATTGCGAATAATAATCGTTTTTAATGCATATATAGCAGACTCTCGGAAAAGTCAACTAACAGGAAAGTTAATTGTCAAGAAAAGTTGAAAGAATTTCGGCACTCATGTAATGCCTTAAAACAGGCGTGTAAACTCGTGGATCTTAAGAATTTTTCGATACTTCAATAGTCAATGAGGAAATTAATTTTTTTTATATCAAATTTACTTCTTGGCGAACTTGAGATTTTGCGAACGCGCGCACAAAACAAGTCAGTGAAAAAGGTGTTTGAAGAAATATCCAATTAGCTGGAAATTACCCGAACATTGTGGATTTACCACATTCATAGAGACATTTCAACAAATTATCAAAGTACGCTCGCTGTACCCTATCAACAACGTGGGTGCGCATCAGCACCAACAAACAAACACGATACAGAGAAGCGTACAATTATTTTTTTCAAATTGTGATTTTGTTTGCGAACTTTTGAAAACAGTGGCGGACTTTTGAAAAAAATAAACATACTACGTAAATAAATTGTGTCAGACACAATCGATTGGCAGAGAGAAAGTTTTTTTGCATATTTACGCAACATCTTATGTACAATTGGAGATTGTACACTGTAAAGTAAAAAAAATGATCTCAGCCAATTATATTCTAACCATTGTGTTGTTTTTGTTGCTTTATTTATTTTTTTCTTTGATTTTTTATTCAACTGTGACAAACAAAATTTTGTAAAAAATTTACTTGTCTCACAGAAAAATGCAAAAAAAATACGGAATATAATCAATTCAAAAATTTAATCAATTGAAATATTTTATCTCTTGCGCTGGGCGAATTTAAGTAATAGATTCTGTCAACATTGTGAAAACATTAAATAAACACTTAAAATCGCTAATATTTTGTCAAAATTAACATACATATCAATAAAAGAATTGAGATTGAAATTAATATTTTGTGTGCGATGGCGTCTTTTCATGATTGTTTTTAATATAAATAAGATATATTTCTTTATATTTTAGTCATTATAACAATTAAAAAAAAAGAAGAAATTGTCTATTAATTTAGGTTCAACAACTCGCATAGGCTACAAAGCAGCCAAATGATATTTTATGTGTATTTTTGTTATTAATAATAACTTATTATGGAATATATTTTTTTGGCTTTTTTTGCCTGGATGTGGAATCTTCCAAAGATACCAATGGTGATATGACCGATTAGCATGCACGATTCGCCGACTGGGAAAGCGCCTACGTACTAAACCACACCCTTGCACACTCTTCTACATATCGTACGTATAAGAGACGGTATAAGATTGTAAGTCCTTCGGCCTTTTGTTGTGGTCTCCCATCGAGTCTGCCATTTGGCCATCGATGTTGTTCTTTCTTCTTTTTTAATGCGTTTATACTCGCTTTTGTCTGTGGTTCTTCTGTTGTAGATTCTCCACATTTCGTCCGCCAGTATATCCACTGGCATCATCCCGGCTATAACTAATGCCGCGTCGTCTGATATCGTCCTGAAGCCACTTATTGTTCTCAGTGCGCTGAGTCTGTATGTGGTTGCAAGATTTCTCCTTATTGCTTTAGTCGTCAGTGCTGCTGCCCAAACCGGAGCGGCATAGAGCAGTATCGAGCTAACTACTCTTGAGAGTAGGATTCTCCTACCGTATTTGGGGCCCCCGATATTTGGCAGTATTCTAGAGAGCGCTGCTTGCGTTGATGCTGCCTTATTCTTCATGTACTCGACGTGGGACTTGAACTGGAGTCTGTTGTCTATCATGACCCCTAGATATTTGATCGAGTCTTTCGAGCTAATTATTTGGTTGCCGACTTTTATTTTCATATACTCCAGTGATTTACGACCCGTGATTAGGACTGCTTCCGTTTTGTGCTCTGCCAGCTCTAGGCCAGCAGTTTCCAGCCAACTCTTGACTTGCGAAATTGCTTCGTTCGCGACTGCTTCGATTTCTTCTATGTGTTTCGCTACGATGACAATGGCGATATCGTCAGCGAAACCAACGATTTTCACTCCTGGCGGCAGTTGCAATCTCAGAACACCGTCGTACATGATGTTCCACAGGATTGGGCCC